AAAAAACAGAACGTGTTGACAATGCAGTAGTCATTCATAAATATACCAAAATTTTACTGTGCACGAACTTGTCTGCGTGTTAGTTATGAATGATCGCGCGTAAAATAAATGAGTTGCGTATAAATCACGCCCTTTTTGAGACAAGTTTAAATCAATGTAATTAATAACTTGCGAGTGATTTTAAATATTTATATATATAATAATAAAAAAAATGGATACACTTAGAAAAGCCACCATGTATATATTATATATATATATATATATATATATATATATATGAAATACTTAATACGCCCTCGGCATATTTTGGGTGCTACTTTATTCTATCTAAACCAAGTAGGTATTGAACTGAAGCAAGGTTGAACACAACTGCAATATCCTTAGTGTGGTCAGTGCCTATGGGTACTGTTAAGCGCATCAGGATACCCGCTTGCACAGTAAGTATCCCTTAGAAAAAAAGAAGCCCAATTTTTAAAAGCTTGTCAACGCATCTGTAACCCTAGGGTGTAGCAGATGTCCATGGGCGGCGGTATTCACTTAACATCAGATGACCCGTCTGCTCGTTTGGCAACTTATCGCATAAAAAAAAGTAAAATACTCTTTTTAACTATGGTAAGGCCACGCAACACTTTGCTGTTGCACAAATGGGCAGGGCCGTCCGGGCAAGAACCGCAACTATTAACTAAAACAAAAGCAACTGCAAATACTTCACTCACTATACATTTTCTGTTTGATTTTGAGGAGTTACCTGATGTATATACGAATCTCAAGGTGCAATACCAATGGAAAGATAAAAAAAATACAACCGAATCGAAGAGCCTCCTTTATTTTGCAGTCGGTTCGAAAAATCTCGAAAAAAATATGGTATTTTCAACCGATTTCAAAAACTGAGGAGGTTCTCAATTCGCCTGTATTTTTTTTATGTTTGTCACCTCAGAACTTTCAACTGCTTGGACCGATTTTGATGATTCTTTTTTTTTATATTTTTTGAAAGACGGTGCTTCCCATGTGACCTCATATTAATTTCATTGGTATTAAACTTTGGGCTCCAGATATACGAGGGGAACTCCTGAAAATCAATTATGAAATGAATACAGAGCGAGTTATTTGAAGTCGGTTTTGATTTCGTTAGTAAAAATTGACTTGTATTTATAAGAGTTCTAACGTTTTTACCTTGATCGGAATATTTTAACAATTACTGAACGTGAATATTAACAACTGTTATAACGACAAGTAGCACTAGTGGTTATATGAGCGTATGGGAACGCGGCCGAAATCCAAGTGACCGCTATTCCATGTGACCATGTGTCCCTTGGCTCGAGTAGATAATGTCATATCCGGTATACAGTGTTGCCAACGGATAGAAAAAGTTTTATTTTATGCATGAACGAATTTTACGGTCACGTATGCTCCGCGTATAATGATTTCGGAAAATCCGTATGGACAGACCGTCCGTGGGGTAGCTGATGTCCGTCCTTCCTTCGGTATTCATGGCGTGACGCGTGGAGCAAAATTAAGGTAGGCCGCACGAACACATGCACTCTGATTCCGTGCCGATTCTTTTTTGTCTGTAAAAATGGCGCTCTCCTCATATCGTATTCGTAAAGGCTTCCGTGCAAGACGCTTTATGGGGCCCTGTTAGCTGTCAGAATGTCCTATCTCGTCATCCGTTAGGTTTTCTCCAACTATTTGTATTCGCAACCCGTCTTGCAACTTTTCAATGATTGCTTAACGTTATGCTTACGTAATGCTGACGTCTGATGACTAAGTGGTCAAAGTATCTTACTTCCTAGTTTGGTTCTAGCATGCTTAAATACAATCTGTATTAGAGATTTATATAAATGTGTATCAAAATTCTAAATATAGATAAATTCTATTCAAAATAGAGCCGTGATAGCTCAGTGTCCAGGCCCTCGCCTTTAATTCAATATACTCGAGCAACCTGAGATTGATCCCCGGTGCGGGCATCAATGAAGTTTTTAACTTTAAGTGCTGACTTATCACGTGCTCCGCGGTGAAGGAAAACATCGTGAGGAAACCTGCATATTTTCGAAATAATAACAAAATATATATATAAAAAAGTAAAAAGTAACAGCCTATACATGTCCCACTGCTACATGAAGATATGTGAAGTCCACCAATACGCAGTGGGGCCGCGTGGTGGACTATGCCCTGATACCCACTGTATAGAGGAGGCCTGTGCACAGCTTTGGGACATGTATAGACTGTTACTTTTTGTATCAAAATTCTTTTTTGTTTATTTATTATTTGTTACGATTTCTTATTACGATTATATTTGTTAGTCGAGGTAAAATTATTAGAATATCGAAAAACATTGAAAATTTTTCATTTATACATCTCGCGCGGAATAAAAAATACCACTCGTGTGCGTTCATCATTGAGTTAGGGCCACGCAAAAATCTTCGCTGGTGCACGGTTGGGTAGGTCCGTCCAGGAAGTACCATTATCTCACAGAAGACCGGCGTGAAGTGGATGTGTTATATTTATGCGTTTCGTCTTGCTAGAGCCGGGCATCTATGCCAGGGCCCACTTTATTATGAGGTTGTAACGCATATGTTACCCTACGGGTGTTGCAACTGTCCATGGGCGGCGGTTATCGCTTAACATCAGGTGAACCGCCGGCTCGTTTGCCAGCTTCTCGCATAAAACAAATACCAAAATCAATTATTACTTACAAGAAGTAAGTAAATTCGTTAGTTATCTCGCCTTTAATATCTTAATAAAACATACCATCACCAAAACAGAGCTGTCAAAATATTTTTAATTGATTACCAAAAAGTTAAAAAGAGTGTGTTTCGCGGAAAAAACGAACAGTTTTATTATTGAAGAAAGCATAGCGGTGTTTTGACAATTTGAAAATTAAGAAGTAAGTGTTATGCAATAATGAATAATTAATGATATTTGAATTTGACAAAATATTTAGTAACATTCCTAAATTGAACAATATGTAACAATAAGAAACTGTATTAAATATAAGAAACTAAATGGGAGTCTCGGATGTTTTTGCTCCCTTCGCGTTCGTCGCGCCGTAGAACTTCCATTACGTCATAACTTTAGAAACTTATCTTAGTTAAGGGTGATCAATTTTCATTTCCCCCCTATAACTTGATCCAAGATATAATTAAAAAATAAAACAGTCTGTCTGTAGAGAAGTATTAAATGGAGATGTTTCTAACAGATATTCATTTATCTTGGTAGAGCACTGAAACTTATATAGCACTAACTTACTAGTAATAGCAGTCCCTACCTTCACTTGCTTTGCTCATATCCATTTATGTGTAAGAATTATAATAGAAATGTGTTAAAAATATTTTCCGCAGAGATAACGGAAAACATAGAAGTATTATAAACAATTTTTTTGATAAAATAATTTGAACAACTGTTTTTTTTTTTTTAATTATCTTTTCCTTTTAAATAACAAATACTTTTAATATATATAGAGTGAGTGTCTAATATAATCTATATAAATAAAATTTTTATTTTACAATAATCCGTAAGTAGCTTTGCATACATTTTAAAAGTCCCCTATTTCATTTGAACAACATGATGATAGAATATGTCGCAATATTTTTTTTACAAATAACTAAAAACATCTTTGTAGTATTTTTATAAATATATTTAAAATATTTAGTCCCTACAATTTAAAAACTCATTTATGGTGTAAAATATTTCTCTAACAATGAAATTTTCATCGTCGTAATGAAATTTTTTGTAAAATTGAGTGATGGTATCTTGTAATAAATAGTGTTGCACATTGCACAGCTATTTTATTGAAAGCGCAAAGGTCACATCGGATCTTATTTTAAATAATACGTATTTTGCTTTGATTGGCTAAGGGTTAGGAGACCAGAGATTAAAATAAATGAGATCCTCCGTTGAAAGCATGCGAGTTAATGCAAGGACGAGTACAACTTGTACAGACGCTTCTTACAACGAAAGAGGGTGATCCGGCGGATTTGTTTTCATCTCTTCCTGTTCCTCGTTCGCTTATTTACATATTATACAAACCGGAAGTCCTACATAATACATTCGGGGGATGATAAGCCGCGCGATGGCACCGGAAGCTCTATTTTACGGAGTTTCGACGGCTGGCATTAATATCGTGGGGTGCCGCGGAACCGCTGTATATTCTATCGTCTCGTACATCTCCGAAGTTTATTAAAAATTAAATCCTTACCTTACCTTTTTTTAAATAAAATACTATAGATTTTATTCTGCTTCTAATCGATCAGGAGTTCTTATCCCGGTGGACAGCATTATGCTGTACAACATTTACCGAGTCTATTTACCGAGATCTTTCGTACAATAACGACTATTTTAAAATCCGGTCTGTACCAGTCAGGTGTAGACTCACACTTGCCGTCTTTTTCTATTTCGTATACCGTTTTGTGATGTATCACAGATCGGATCGGGTAACGCTATTTGGCATAGTGTACATCATAGTAGCACAGTAGATCGCCTTGAAGTAGAATTGTTTATACCTTTGCGTTTCACCTTTTTTTTTAAAGATATTGCCCTTAGTTTAGGATAACATTATCCTGTGTTGTAAGGACGTTTTACAAACATAAATTTCACATGGACAAACACCCAGATGCAAAACAACTATTTGTGGGTCACACAAATAGTTGTCCCGTGTGGCGATCGAGCCAACGACCTCAAACGCCGAAGCCAATACCTTGACAACTGCGCCGCGGATTCTACGACAGATGCACAAAGTAACGCACCTTCTGAAAGGCTAGGCTAGACACACAATTATTAAAGTGATCATTGCACATTCATCAAGTGTGCAATAGTTCGTCACCGACGTCTCTCAACGAGAATATACATATCTGTACATCCGGAAAAATCGCAAAGTAACTCTTGATGTCGCATCGTAACGTGCGGCGAGGTAAATAATTCATTAGGCCGTGTATAGACAGCAAACAGCGACGTCGCCTTGGAAATGTCGACGCGCGGTTCCGGGAGAGTTCCCATCCATCATGCTCAGCGGTGACCCGGATCGATCGCCGGCCACCAGGACAAATACACCCAGGGACGGCGACGCCGGGACAAAAATGGCGGTCGCAAACAAATGCTCTGTCGATCGCCTGACAGTAGGATTGATGCTACGGGCAGAGCGGCCGCGGTTGCCGCTCTCCTCCCGCCCCCCCTCTCGATTTGGGATGAGTTCGAATTTCGAAGCTTCCTAGGAGTTTTTGTTTACCAGCCCTTCATACAGCGTATAGCGATGCGTTCAGACTGATAGAATTTTAATTTTACACGAGTATTTTTTTTTACATTTACAGAGTTGTAGTTTATTAGACGTTCAATAAGATCTTAAAACAACGTATTGAATAAAGAAATTTTGTATTTGAAATGAGCTCGTATGCGTATTTTTACTAAGACCTCATTGATTTCATTCTAAATTTAAGTTTAAAATAAATTGAATAACCTTTTGCCATGCCAAATTAACCGAAACCAGGTCGACTTCAAAAAATCCGTAATCTTTAAAATTCCATGGGTAACTTACTAGTAACTTAAAGCCTCATTAGCAGTAACCAAAACAGTATACATAAATGTTGCGAACATTTTTTTTAATAAAACACACGACCGAAAACATCAAAAAAGCGTATAGTTTTCAAATTTGACTGTACTTATCCAAGCGTAAAGCAAAGTTATTGATCCAAGCCGTTCACTCGTATACCTAACCGACTGATTTAATAAGCCGTTCGCCCAGAATTGCAAATCAACATCGGTTAAACTAGTTTGACTGTCACGTCAGCATAAGCATTGAAGTAGAAGATGCAAGGGAGCTCTCGTAGTAGAGAGTAGAAGTGAAGATGCGACGTACAAGCGACACGTCCGTCGAGAGCCATAATCGGATTCCGCGAGGTATTATATGCATAAAGCTCGCTCGAACAGAAATAAGATACGGAGATATCAGTGCAGTTCGCGCCCATTCAGACGTTCGTCGCCTCCGATCTCGTTACGGAATGAGACGAACGCAGCAATATTGGTAACACTAAAGGAATTTTCATTCCATGTTTGAAGCCACACGAAGCATGTCATGGTCTTTTTTGGTTTGTCAACAAGAAGTAGCGATAGTGCTGCCCAATCGGTATCACAATTTGAATAGAGTTGTGATATTTATATCAGTGTCATTGTAGTACAAAGTAAAACTACGGTGATTTGATAAAAGTATTTATATTTCTACCTTCTTAGCTCGATAAAACAAAGTGAGGATAATATTGGTAAATGAATTGTACAAAGCGGCGATATTATTAAACGGCCAACCTCTGCGATAGGTATGAGTATCGGCAGGAAATATCGGATTTTAGTTAAATTGAATCGATTGAACGAATGAAATAATGAAAATTTGTAGGTAGTTTCGAAGGTATCGATGGAAAATAGTTTTAGTTTAGACAAATTAGACAAATCGCTTTTCGGCGTTTAGATTTTCACAGCGCAAAAACAATTAAATATTTTTTTTTATAAATTAAATACACGTAATTATCAAAAATCCATTAATAAAATATTTTCCACCGAATTATTGTAAAAGATCTGTTTCAATTATCGTGAATTCATTTATAAATAAAAACTTTTATACGCATGCGGTTAAGAAAAATAATTTCGCGTGGACATTGTCGTTAAAAGACACATAATTTAGGAAAATGTACACGCGTAATTAGCACTAATTTCACACAACGTGGCACCGAAAATGCTTTCACTATTTTCTATTTCTCGTACTTTAAATTTTCGCTTACTATTTTATTAATATAACTACGTATATATGTATATTTAAATAAAATTTAAAGTCATTAAACTTATTTCAATTTAAATAAGTATTTTAATAAAAGCTCTTTACGGTTTTTTTATGTGATAAGATGGCAAGCGAACTGGTGGTTCAACTGATGTTAAGTAATAATCACCAGCCACGGACATTTGCAACACCCGTATGGTTGCAGATGCGTTGCCACCTTTTAAAATGGACTCCGGCCACTATATTCTTCACACAATATTTTTCCACTATCAGGCATCGAACCCACACCCTCTGGCGCAAACAAGAGAAAGAAAAGAAAAGTTTTGTCGCGATTAAAGTCTTATTTGGCGATGAATGTGGACCGGATTGACTGATTACTCAGGATGGCAAAGGCCTCAGCTTATTCTGTAATCATAATGCTGCGAAGTATTCAAAACGTCTGTTACGGCAACACCAAACATCACTTCCGCATAGATCGGGGCCCCCAGAGACACACAATTTCTGCCTCGTCACTTATATCTTCAACGGCTCAAGTGCAACATCAATAATTGTCAGAAATTAAATCATCTACGAGCGACCTATTATTCATTGATACATCCACTTCTCTACAACGTCCAATAATAAGGTTCGGTACGATTTTCACTGTGGTAGGGCCGCGCAACGATCTCAGCTGTTGCACAAATGGGCAAGCACAAATGGAAAGTATCATCAGCCTCACAGTAGACCGGAGTATTTTTTTTTTTTTGGGCTGGATGAGCCACTGTTGGCATTTACAGATCCGACGGACTTGAGGTGGCCGGGCGCTCGAGGCGCCTAGCCTGAACCTCGCGTATTTATTATTACGTATTATGGTGACTAAGCTCGAGGGCTCCCGAAGGAACCTCGGCTCGGGCCGTCACGCTATTTAATTCACCGGTTTGGGAGGCCGCCTAGCTCTTAGGGTGCTTTGGCGGGGGCTCCATGGAGTGATCAGGCTCAAGGGTCCCCGAGAGGGGACCTCGGCTTGGGCTGTAACTCAACACGCGTTTAGCATTCCGATTCGAGGGTGCCCGAGAGGGCCGGACCTCGGCTCGATCGGTAGCTGTTATCTGACTGGGGGGATCTCTAGAGCTATCGTTACTACCACTTCGTAAAGCGTTGGCGCTGGGAGAAGAAGTGGCGGAAGAAACTCCAGCAACGCTTCTATCTTGAACTGGGGAGAACCTGCCAGGTACGTGGCGGAACCTAGTGTATGTTTGCCGCACTCGCCGGCGAGTGCGGTTTGTGTTGGTGTGTTTGCGAAGTTTTTTAATCCTTTCGATGGCGATAGTCGTCTCATCGTCAGGGAAATCGATAACGTGTCGCGGTCTACGGTGATTGCGGCGAAACGTACCTAGCGGCAGGGGTCTGTAGGTGGCGGCACCTACGATTAGCGGGTTGGGATGCGCGGCGGCGGAATCGAAGTATCGGCGCGACGCCGACTTCAGGAATTGAGCGATGGTGGGCAACTCTAAATCGACATGAAGGTCGATATTGCGCATGTGACCAGGGTGATCCCGTGGCTCTGCGCAAGAATCGATTTTGGATGACCTGAAGCCGGTGTATTTGCTTCGGAGCAATGTGTGCGAAAATTGGACTCGCGTACGTCATGATAGGGCGAACTACTGCCTTATATAGAGTCACCTTGTTCCGAAGGGACATTTTAGACGTTTTGTTGAGGAGCGGATGGAGGCGACCGAGTACGAAGGCCGCCCGGTTCTTGACCCGAGTCACGTGCTGGTTGAATCTAAGTTGGGAGTCAAGGACGACACCTAAATATTTAACTTTGTTCACCCATGGTACCGGACTATCCATGAGTTTAACGGGGGGTGGTTTATCTACGTTTTTATGCGAAAAAAGGACGGCCGCCCTCTTGGCGGGATTGATTTCAATCCTCCATTGCCGAAACCAGTCACTGATGGTGATGGCTGCAGCTTGGAGGCGTCGATGGATAATTTCGGATGTTCTGCCTGCTGTATAGAGACAGGTGTCGTCGGCAAATAGGGCAAGTTCTACATCTTTGACTCGCGGCATGTCATTGGTGTAGAGCGTAAAAAGGACTGGGCCCAACACTGACCCTTGAGGCACCCCGGCTCGAATGGGATGCGTTGTCGAACACACGCCTTCGACGCGATAGCGAAAGGTCCGATTACTTAGGAAGTCTCGTATTATGCATACGAGACGATCGGGCACTCCGAGCCCGTATAACTTGTATACGAGCCCGTTGTGCCAGACTTTATCGAAGGCCTTTGCCACGTCCAAGAAGAGTGCTCCGGTGTTGAGTCCGCGTTGGCGTTTGACTAGTATGTGCTCCGTGATGCGGTGCACTTGATGGGTACAAGAATGTTTGACTCTAAAGCCAAACTGTTCAGGGATGGGGAGCCCTTTGGCGTCCATAAGGGATCTTAGTCGGGCTAATATTAGACTTTCAAAGATCTTCCCAAATGTTTTGAGAAGACTTATTGGACGATAAGGGGTTGGGAGGGTCGCGGGTTTGTGAGGTTTGAGGAACCCTATTACGTCAGCTTCTTTCCACTCGGACGGGAAGAAGCCTTCGGTTATAGCCGCGTTGTAAATTAAGACTAGTATCTGAAGGATGCTAGTAGGGAGAAGTTTGGTCACCTTATTGGTGATACCATCAGAGCTAGGCGCTTTGCGTGGGCGCAGTTTGTTAATTGTTTCTGCGAGTTCCGAGCACGTGACCGGGGAAACGGGATCGCGGAGTGGTTCCGATGCTTTCCTTTCGACCTCTTCGTTCACCTTACGGAGGTGATCGGGGTGGGTCGGAAGCAAGCTGGGGGAGCATTGGGCCTCTAGACTGTCAGCTAGGCATTCGGCTTTCTCTTCGTCCAGCATTGCTGGCGTTCCTATCGGGCGAAAGACCGGAGTAAAGTGGAAGTTATACTTTAGTGTTTCGTGTGGTGAGTGAGGTAGACGAGGTCCACTTATTTCTAAAGATTAGCAACGCATGTCCTTGGGCGGTAATCACTTAACATTAGGTTAACCGCCCGCCCGCTTGCCAACTTTTCACATATAAAAAGCACAATAAAATACTTAATCCTCACGAATCCTTCGACTCGACAGCTGGCCTCTCCCCACTAACTGATGCATTAGCACAGTTTATTGCATCGAGGCTCCACACAAAATGTCAACAGCAAAGACACCTCATTCTTGACAACCCGATTGGCGTAGTGAGCCTGCCTTTTGTGCCAGAGGGTGTGGTTTCGATTCCCACTACTGGAAAAATGTTGTGTCATGAACATAGTGTTTCCAGAGTCTGGGTGTTTTATATGTTCATAATATGTATTTATTTACAAAAAAAATATTTTTAAGTATGTTTATCAGTTATCTAGTACCCATAGTACCAGCATTGCTTAGTTTGGAACTTGAGAACGTTGTGTAAAAATGTGTCCCAAATATTTAATACTA